CAATCAGTATAGCTATTCACGTAAGGCGTGTGGATGGGCGCCTGGGAGCAGGCCATGGTGTAGCTGTTCTTATTGCCACTGCACACCTTGGGGACAATGTGAGTTCACTGCCAATCCCTCCGCCAGTCTGTGCAAGTACCAAAAGTGCCAGCTCTCTTGACCCGGGGAGCGCTGTCCCAATCTCCCTATTTCACAAATGGGGAAACTGAAGCCAAGAGACATTGTCCCAGCCCGCAGGTTCCAGGCCCACCTGGCTCCGAACAGAGAACAGATGAGAGAGATGCTCGCAGGGCTGGGCCTCCCCAGAAAAGGCAGCCTTGAACTTGGCCTGGAGTTTCCTGATGGCAATTGGAAAGGGAAACAGGAATTGAAGAGTCTGGTGCAAACACAGACGTGTATGCTGCCTATCCCTCTGCCGGTCCTAGTCCAGCCTCCTGCACACCACATCCCAGCATTTCCCCAAAGGCAAAGCCCAAGGGCTCCCCACTCTGCCGTCTGTGACTTCTCATCCCCATCAAGAAGGTAAAAAGCTCCATTTTCCTCGTGCTTCTTTGCACATGTGCTGGCCAGACAGTGTCGGAGGCCGCTGTCCCCCCTGCAGGGTCCCCTCCCGGATCTAAAGCTCTCTGGGGCCCGTCACTGGGAATTTCTGGGCATAGACGTGCTGTCACAGCAATGCAGCTCCCGTCCCACCACCACCACAAACACACATAGCAGGACAAGGGACGCACCTAAAGAAATGTTAATACAGGGCCAAGAGTGAGGAATAGAAATTAAATCCTCAGGTGCCAGAAAATAAAGAAGAAACTCCCAGTCAGGGCGGAAAAGGAAATGGACTCTGGAGGAGGTCAGCTGGCTGGAGTTTCAGTGCCCACTCAGGCAAGGCTGGTGTCCAAAAGATCTGGCTACGGCCACATAGACCCAAGCGCACCTGGGAACTGTTACAGGCTCAGCTGGGGCCTCGATGCCGGCCAGCGCGTGTTCAATACGCCGCTCAGCCACCCAGAGAAGTAACGCAGCTGTCCCTCAGCCATTTCTTCTCCCTGCTCACATCAGAGCTGTCCCACTGCCTGGGCAGAGACAGCCCCTCATCCTAGCTCCAATCACCGTCAGCTGTCCCTCTGAGGGACCCCTGCCCACTCCCGGCCACTCTGCAGGATCTTCAGCTTCACCCTGATATTACCTCTTTCCCTCAGTCACGGCGAGTCCTGTCCCGTCTTAAAGTCAAAACCCGTCCCTCCACCCTGTGTATTTTTGTCGCTATTCCTCTGTCTCTGCCCTAACTGGCAGTGCCAAACACTGGGACCCCACACCCGCCGCCCCCATGTCCTCCTCAGCTACTTCCTCCTCAGCCTACAGAAGTCAGGGCCTGCTCTCACGACGCCACCAGACAGAACACCCAGTGGACACATTGGTAACGCTTTTTCCCAAAATGAAGTTTTCTGCATTTCGCAGCAGTTGTTCTGCCTCCTCTTAATATGTTTCCTCCCCTGGCTTCTGCCCCGTCTTTCATGGTTTTCTTCCTTCCTCTCTCAAATGCTGGTGTTCTCTGGGATTAAAATATATATATATATATATACATACACACACCCTCTTTCCCTAGATGTGTTCATTCACTGTGATGGCTTCAGCCAAGCCACCTAAGCTGCTGAGTTCTGAAGCCACCAGTGCATCCACGGCAATACCACCCACTGTCTTCACGAGTGTTGGGCAGGGTGCCTAGGGACCAGCACCCTGCTAGGAGCGTCTTGTACCCACTGAGTGCCGGGCGTGGGGCCGTCACCCCAGCGCCATCGTCCCTTGGCCTGGATAATTCTGTTCCAAGATTCCCCATGGAATTCAGCTCCAGTCGTCACCTGTGGGAGTGTCACACCTTTTGTCGGCTGTCCTACGTCCCCCATGTCACTTCTCTCCTCACTTACTTACATCCTTTGCACCTCTCAGTTCACCATGTTGACTCAAATTCTTGCCTCACACTTTGCTTTTAGGGAAACCCAGCATGAGACACTCCTTACGGCCAAGCATTTATGTAACTCATCATCGTTTCCTGGATCAGTCCTCCTCCTGGTTAACCTCTCTCGTATGTCACGTGACCTGTTATCTCACGCGAACCAGAAATCTAGCCAACCTGTCTGCCACTGTGTCCAGCTGACTCAGGCTTCTTGATGTCCCCTTCATGACCTAGGCTATGACCCTAATGACTCCACCCACCTCTCTGACCTCCTCTCAACTCTAGCCTGTCCCTCTCCAACCATATTCCGCACTGCCCTCAGACTAGTTCTAAAATGGCATTTGTTTCCTCTGGTTCCCATCTTCCAAAGCTTCCCATTGTCTAAGGAGGAAACCAAAACTGTCCAATACGACATTTAAAAGCCTAAATACAAATACACATCTCAAATATTGGCCTTGGCCCATGCCAGGCTCGAAACAGGTCAGGCATGGTGCCCGCGTGTCCCCATCAGAGAACCAATCAAGCCTCATCCTGTCTGCCTGTCTGCTCATCTAGCTCCCAGCTAGACGTCTGAGGGAAGCCACCATAAAGCTAGTCCTCACAGCACCCCAACCCCCTAAAAGTTCACCTGGCACATAATAGGAACAAAATAAATACACTTGGATCTGTGAATGAAAGAATTAATGAATTGGAACATAATAAACCCTTGCATTTTTTTTAATCTACCCCACATTTTAACCCCTTTGAGTGTTTGGGGAATCCTCTAATTTCAGAGCTTAGCAGGAGGCCAAAATGACCGTCCAGTGGCGCTGGATATGTGACATCCTTGCTTTCCCAGACTCCCTTGCAGTTGGTCCTGTGACCAAGGCTCTGCCAACTGGACATGGTATGTGGGACTTGGATCTGAGCAATTGGGACAGTGGAACCAAAGGCCGGGGCTCAGGGTCAGAAGGGCAGAGAAGAGAGGTCCTGCTCACATGCGCTCTCTGTCTCTCTCACCCTTTCTTTCCCTGTGTCTCTCTGCCTCTGTCTCCCTCTCTCTGTCTCTCTGTCTTTCTCTCTGGGAGGGGTGCAGTGGAACAATCGGGAAGGTACAATTTTGGTGCCGACAGCTCTCTGCTGGTGGTGACAACTGCAGTGCAGTGCATACAGTGCCTGGTGTCTCACCATCATGACCACGGCACAGGGGTCCTCATCAGAGCAGTTCTGTGGTGTAGGTTGGATACTGTTCCTGGAAGCTGAGCTGCACGCACCTTCTCCCAGTGATTCTGTGACCTACCTCTTACTATCCTCTTAAGAAAGTCCCCTTTTGTTTAATCAGCCAGAGCTGTTTCTGTCACTTACAAGTAAGAACCCAGACATTAGGAAAGCTGCTTACAGAATTACAATGAAAATTAACAATTTACACTGTAGCGATTGACAGATTAATCAAATCTGTAGAATTGATGAAAACTCAAGACCTTTAGGTATTAGCTGAAACCCCAGTTTGACGGTTGGAAGACTGAGATTCTCATCCTTGTGGTTCAGTGAGACTCAGCCCAGCCTACAGCCCAGGCCTCCCAACGTCGGGGGGACACGCAAATTACAACAGCAGTCAGACGCCTCTACAGACCTAAGAGGATGGCCCAAGTTTAGAGCACTGACCACACAAACGCTGGGAGTGCATGGAGCAGCAGAACTCTCACTCATCGCTGGTGGGATGCAGAATGGTGCAGCCATGCTGGAAGACAGTTTGGCGGCCTCCTACAAACTAAACATACTCTAGCCACACAATTCAGCATTCATGTTCCTTGGTATTTACCCAAGGAGTTGTAAACTTATGTCCACATAAAAACCTGCACACGGATGTTTATAGCAGCTTTAAAGTCATCATGAAGTCAAACATAGCCTTCAATAGGTGATGGATAAACAAACTGGTTTATACACACCAGAGGTTATTTCCAGCACTGAAAAGAAATGTGCTATAAAGCCCTGAAAAGACATATGGCTAAGTGAAAGAAGTCAACCTGAAAAGGGTACACACTGTATGATTCCAATTATAAGACATTCTGGGAAAAGCAAAACTGTGGAGACAGCAAAGAGATCCGTGGCTGCCAGGATTTGGGAGAGAGGTACATAGGGGGGGCACAGAGGGGTTTTAGGGCAGTGAAACTATTCTGTATGATGCTATAATGGTGGGTACATGTCACCATAAATGTATCCAAACCCAAAGAACATACAACACCCAGAGTGAATCCTGATGTGAACTGTGGCCTCTGGGTGATGACATGTCAATGCAAGTTCATCAGTTGTAGCAAACATCCCAGCTGGTGGGGATGTCCCACTTGGCGGGGAGGCTGTGCATATGGGGTACAGGGGATATATGGGGTATCTCTATACCTTCCCCTAAATGTTGCTGTGATTCTAAAACTGCTCTAAAAGAAATAGTCTTGATAAAAACAAAAAATTAAGTGATAGAAGAGGCCCATAGACTTATAAAGATTGAGAGACATATTATTGAAAAACAACACAACCAAACAAACAAAAAAACCAAAGTTGGTGTTGGCCAGTCAAGGAGAAGGCCCACCACAGCAGTGGAGATTGACAGAACAGCCCTGGCCTGAAAAAACTCCATTCCTGTAGGGGAAGTGAGATACAACCCGCTCAGCTTTCATAAAGAAAGGCGGTGACGTTTGGGGCCCTCTTCAGGGGACCACAGTTCAACTAAAGAGAAGGACACTGGCTTGCTTTCGGCCGGGCAGGCCACCTGGCTCCCTGCTACCCCGAGGCCGCTTCTCCACGGGTTTTCTGAGCCATGCCACCCAAAGGGGTGAGCGTGAGCCCCCCTTTCCAGGAACGCCATCAGAACTCCTCAGCCTAGGGGAAAAAAAAAAAGAGCTGACTCCAGGTTTCCAGGCTGAGAGCTCAATCCAGCTGCAGCCAGATGGAGGAAAGTGTGTCCACATGACTGGCAGCTACTCGGGGCAAGTGACATGCAGGGTTCTGTATTGGAATTTCACTCACGGACGCAGCACCGCCCTTCAGAGCCATCTGAGCGATTGTGCAACCCCAGCCTATAAAGGCGGTGTCACTCCAGCCTCTGGAAACCCGCCTGCTCAGCCTCCAGGGAGCTCTCCTTCCTCTGCTGTCATCGTGGCCCAGCCTGGCAGCCACAATGAGGCTTTTCTACCTTCTGTTGCTGCCTCTTTGCCTGCTCTTCGCCCAGGTGGCCCCAGGTGAGCTTGGGGACCTGCTGAAGCACTCTCGCCCTGGGGCTGGGAACTCTTGGGCTAGGTGAGCTGTGAGGGCAGCTGCCTCTCTGTCCTGGTGTCCTAAGGGTGGGGCACCAGGAAAGCTTCCTGAGGCTGAGTGGCTGAGTGGCCTGCTGTGGCAGCGGGTAGCCTGCCGAGCCTGGGGGTCTGCGCTGTCCCCAGACTGGCTAGGAATGAGCTTGTCAGGGCATCCCCAGGCGGATGCCCTGCGGCCACCCAGCTGCAGGAAGGATGGGTGCATGTCTTGCTCCCTGGCTGCCCCTCAGGCTCCATGCCCTCTGCACTTGGCAGGGGTGGGGGGCCAGTCCCAGGCAGCTGCCAGCACCTCTCAGGTGTTGGACATCTAGAAAATACCCTCTGTGGAAGGGGACTGCCTCCTCTACCTGTGAGACTAGAGAGGCCAGCTTCTTACCCAGCTGGGAGAGGTGCAGAGTGCCAGCCCGGTCTCCCCCCAGGTCACTGGGTGGGGCCTCCCAGGTGCCCTGCTGCAAGCAAGTGCCGCCTGCCCCTCCCACAAAGCCAGCTCACTGGTGCCTTGACTCACCTGTGTGCAGGCACTCAGGGACTCACAAGCCATCTGAGGCCGTCCTTGAGGAAGCCATTCGTGTTCTCCAGGGTGGGCAATCTCCCCGGTACATGGGAGGGGAGCACTCTGTGGACCAGAAGACTCCAGCTCCTCAGGGTCAAAGCAGCAGTGTCCCTAACATAAGAGAAGGTGGTACCTTCAGGAGGAATTGGGGGACACGTTTTATGCCAGCCCTGTGACTCACAGTGACCTTGAGCAAGTCACACATTCTCACATCTGCAAATGAGCAGGCTGTGGCAGGTGATTCTAAAAGCATAGAGCTCTGAAAAAGTCAGTCGTGCTTTTCTCCAAGCCATCACTCTATCAGATATGCCTAATTTCCTCCAATGGTGCCTCAGTTTCCCCACCTGAAAACTGGGTATGCAAGTATTCGAATGTAGTTTTTAATGTTTCCGGGTGGAACCCATGAGAAAGGCGGGCAATCAAGTTACAGAGTGGTAGCCCTGTTTTTTCAAAGAACATTTCTATTCTAGTCTACCAGAGTATGCCATGCATAAGTGTCCATGCTGTGTTATTATACTGTGGTTCGGTCATGTATGCATGTGTGTGTTTGCACTGAGTAGCCGGCAAAATGTCTCACAGCAGTTCTGTTCAAATACACACAGGTTTGAAAGTCACTATGTCAACATGGAGAATTATTTTCAGCCTATTAGGTCTAAAGATGGTTACGAGCATCCCTTTCCAAGGATATGTGGAAACAGCTACACTTATTGGTCATTCGTTATACAAACACTAGCTGACCTTACGGGGCAGTAAACACAGCGCTAGCTCAGACACTCCCACGCGAGGCTACTGTCCTCTGCCCTTTCACAACACAGAAATCCCGTCTGCACAAGCCTTCCCGTTCACCCTTTCCTGGAAGGGCCGTTAGAGCTCATGTCTCACAGGAGGAAACCGAGGCACACACGAGCTGAGGCAGACCAGAGCTGTGTGGTGACTGCAGGAAATCAGGACTTGACACTTTCTTTTAACAGTTTTTGTCCCTATCAGAAAAGAAAAAAAAAATGAGTTGCCCACATTTATCTGATACAAATGGTCTTTCGGTGAAGACAGAATGATGTCAAAATGACATGGTGACTCAGGTCCTTGAATCAGCTAGATGAGGACCCAGCCAAGGTGTTTAGACATCGTGATAGTTTGAGGCTGTTCACTGACTGACTCGGCAAATATTTAGTGAACAGCTGCTCTGTGCAGGCCTTGCCCTGGGAAGTGGGGAGAAGCCAGGAAAGCACAGCCCTTGACCTCATGGCTTTACATTCTAGGAGCAGAACAGGGCAAGAAACCCCAATTGTATAATTAACTACCTAATTACCATCGTATTGTGAAATGCTGTGAGGCACAGCGTGCTGGGGGAGCATGTGACCATGGGGGCTGGCCTGGTCACATGGGGCCAGGAGGCTTTCCTGAGGAAGCTGAGCAGTGATGAGAAAAGGGGACGTCGTTCTGGCGTTCATGGCATTTAAATAATAATAATAACAATTTTTTCTTGACATTTGAAACTCAGGGTATGCACAGAAAATTCAGATTTTTATCTTCTCTCGAAAACACACACAAAAAAGATGTCAGCATTCCTCCCTGGGCACAGTGAGCCTCAACTAAATAGTGGCAGCTCCTCTGGGGATGGGCCCTGGCTCGCCACGTCACCGCAGGCCCCACCACTCCCTACGGCCTCACCTCAGCCCCCCGCCACGGGCTTATGTCATCTGCTGGGGTCTGAATTTACAGCCCTGAATTGAGTGAGGGAAAGGTGAGAAGGCCTTGGGAGCAAGGACAAACCAGATGGAAGGGGCATCAGGTGGGACAGGCCAGAGATGAAGGGAAATAAAAAACAATAGCTCTCACTTTTCATCGAGACCCCACAGCGCCCCCATGGGGAACACAGAAGCATTATCCCCATTTTGTGGATTAATAACTTGGCCAAAGTCACATGGCTGATCAGAGACAGGGGCAAGGACTCAGACCCAGGCCATCAGCTCCAGCGCCGGCACCACACGCCTCCCTAGGCGCAGAGTGTACCCGGGGGCTGGGAGGACTGGTGGGGGGACCAGGGTCAGCCTGGGGTCAGGGCAAGTGAGGACTCACAAGGCAAGAAATGCATCTGGGGTCGGGGGAGCCCTGAAAGGTTTATAAACTGGGAAAGTGATAGGACCAGAAATGGCTTAAGAGACTAGTTTGTGGCAGTGTGGAGACAGCGGACAGCAAGGTCACTTGTCCCCTAGACAGAGCCATCTCTCTTACGCCTGCACTTTCCCCCGGGTGGTCAGCAGTTCTGTAGAGCAAAATTAACCAGACCCACGATAAAGGCTCCAGTCATTCCTCAGTATCCTTCCGTCCTTTCCCTCGGGACACCGTGTGCCTTCCCGGGAGCTGGGCCTCGGTTTCCTCTCCTGGAAAACGGGGCAGGAAGCAAAACGACTCCCAGCTCCAACCTTCTGTGACCCTTAATCTCCCCGCCCGCCTTGCCCACACCTGAGTGTCTCACTCTGTCATCCCCACCCCAACCTGCTGGCCCGAATTCCTGGCCCTATCAGACCTCTGGCAACAGCCGCCAGGAATGTGGCCGCCACAGCCTCCGAATCCCATCTAGAAAACATGCTCTCCATGGCCTCCGCAGCCCCCATGGCCCCAAACCAGGCTGACAGAGACACCTGGCTAGCAACACACAGACAAAGTGGTCCTCACACACATCAGATACGAAGCATCCCCTGATCATGCAGGGATGACTAGCGGTAGGAGCCTCCATTTTAGATTTTATTCCCTATTTTATAGATTTTTTTTGTTCAGTAGTGGATCTCAGAGCAGTTGACTTTTCAAATGCCCGGCCAGCAAACCACGAACAGAGACTCCAGCTCTGACTCCCAGCTCTACATTCTTTCCACTCGCTTCCCAAAGCCCCCTGGATACATTGCCAGGCACACAAATGTATCTCAAGAATGATCTAGACAGGAACGAAAGGAAAGCGTTCATGAACCTAGTAAGAGGCATTGCTGATTATCCACGGCCAGCGTGAGTTTCGTGGTTTCGGGGACTTCACAGGTTACTTGTCTGCAGCCGAAGGGCTCGGCTCTGGTTTGGTTTGGAGATCTGTTGTTGTGCAGGAGAGGCTGGTCTATTTGACTTCTGTCCCCCGATAGCTTTAAGATTCACAGGAATGAAGGCTGATCCTCGGCGGTCTCTGCTGCTTACTGGAACCCGGCCAGCTCCGCTCCTAAGCTGACAAGCAGCCTCTGTTTCACGGCTGGCACTGCGGGGGAACCCACTGACTCGTGGGCAGCTCTTCCTTGGCACGACTGCCAACCAGCCACCTTGTCCTTGACCAGAGAGAGGGCCTTGGCAGACTTGCCAAGGCCCAGAGGGCTCTGATAAGCTAATTGCTCACCTGTGAGCAGTCTCACAGTGCCAAGTCCAGGTGTGGGTCACGGCAGGGGAGGGACTGTCCAACAAGTGTTGCAAAAATCTAGCTTGCATTCTTGCGCTCCCTCGTATCGGTATCTGTGTTTGTTCCTCACACATCTCACCTCGATGGGTCACGTCACCCTGTCCCGGCTCCTGGACCTTTTCAGGCCTGTCCTTTTACTGCTGGCTGTGCTGGCATGTCCTGACAGTGGACAAGTTTGGGCCCATCTTCTCCAAAACCTGTGTCATTTGGCAAGTTGCTCCTGCCTCAGCTCGGTGGTCTTTTAGTACAAGAAATGTATATTTTAGTCAACAGCTCTCCGATTTTCCCTTCTAACGCTGTTCCAAAACCTCAGCTTGTAGCTCTAATTGTGCGACATGAAGCCAGCCTTGGTGGCCGCACTTCGGAGTCGAATGACCGAGACCGAGTTCCGTTATCGACAGCCTGAGCACCACACTCGGCTCTCAGATTCTCCCCTGTTCCTGTCTCTCATCCCCTGTACGGCTCTCATTCTCGGGGCTCTTTTATACAAAGCGCAAAGGCCGCTCTCAGCGTTTCCAACGTATCTTCTGTGCAGTCTTTCTAAGCTGCTCTTCCTTGAACCACCACCATCCGACTTGCGCAGGTTATGTTTGATCTCGGTAGCTTTGAAGGTTGTCCGCTCCTTCCTGCAGATTTATTTCCTGGTGACTCTCCTGTGCCTGCTGCTCTAGATGCTTCCTCACCCCACCATTTTCTCCCATGTCGGACCCACTGGCCCATATCTCCTAGCTAGTTCCCCGCTACTTCATCATCACAGGCATCCTTTATTTCACCAACACGTATTGTTACGCTTGACTAGAAAAACGGTCGGTGTTACGTTTGCAGCTATGCAGGACTATTGACACGGCGGCTGTCACTGGCCTAATAAATGTACATCTGAAATAGTTGTGCTCTTAGCGGCTCGCGTGGCAACCGGCACAAACCAGATTTCCCCGCAGGCCTGCCCCCACTGCCCGCCTTCTCCTCATTCCTTCTCGCCCTTCAGTGAGCTTTCTCTTCCCTGAGTGACTGTTTCATGGTGCTCCAGAGGCCACGAAATGATGTGTGGGACTGTATTTCTCAGGCCAGCGTAGTGAGGACCACGACAAGAGTGAGCACAAGTTCAGGGAAGAGGAGAAGGGCAGGGCTGTGAGCTGCCCCAGGAGCGCCGGTGCCCAGGGAGTGGACAGCGGTGGAGCAAGGCCGTGACGAGAGGGGACACTGGAAACTCTCCATAGCACAGGACGGCTGTAGTGCAAGGGGTGTGCACAAGACCTTTCCAGAAGCAACTCGTTTTGTTTTTTGTTTTTATTGTAAAATATATCATGCATCTAGAAAAGTGCACAAAATAGAATGCATGACTTAATAAATTATAAAGAAAGCACCCCTGTAACCACAATATAAACCAAGATGTGGGGCGTGGCTGGCACTTAGGATGCCCTCCCCTAGGCTGTCAGTCACAACCCCCTCCTTCCCCCAAGGGGAACCACGGTTTATCTCTTGTGTTATAACGTCTTATATTTCTTACACTTTTACCATGTGCACGTTCAGACTGAATAACATAGCGTGGTGTGTGCATGCATTTCAAGCAGCTGGAAACCAAGAGGCGGTGGCATGGCTGAACCGTGGGAAACGCTTATATTTGATTTTAACAGAGAATGCCAAACTGTGCTAATTTACACTCTCGCAATCACTGAATGAGAGATCCCGTTGCTCCAGATTCAGGCCAACACTTGATAATGGTAATCATTTTCCAATTTTAGACATCTGGTCAGTGTAGTGGTATCTCATTGAAGTTTTAATTTGCATTTCCCCTGATAAATAATACGGTGAGCACTTTTGTGTATAGTTACTGGCCGCTTGAATATATTTTGTGAAATGTCTCATTGTCTTCTGCCCATAATTTTCATCAGATTATGTCTTTTCTTAATTATTTGTAGGAGTTCTTCATACAGTCTGCATACTAGTCCTTAGAAGCCATCAGCAATACAAATATCTTCTACTTTGTGCCTTGATTTTTTTTTCTCTCTTAATGAAAACTTTCCTTAGACAGAGGTTTTAATTATTATTTTAACGAGGCTAAATGCACCATATCTTTTCCTTTAGGGTTAGTTCTCTTTGCATCTTAAGAAATTGTTTTTTAACCCAAAGGCATGAAGAAAATTTTCACTATTGTCTTCTGAGAGCTTATTGCTTTGTCTTTTACATTTAGGCTTATAATCCATCTGGCAATGGTGTGTGTGTGTGTGTGTGTGTGTGTGTGTGTGTGTGTGTGTGTGTGAGATCTGAGTTAAGGGTGGAGTTTTTCTCAATATGAATATCCAAGTGTCCCAGAACAAACAACCTCAAACACCGTTTTCCTCCACTGCTCTGCTGAGCCACGGCTCTCACACATCAATCCTCCCTAAATGCCTTGGCCTTCGTACTCTGTTCTGTTCCATTTGTCTGTGTGTCTGCCCTGTGTTTTCAACACACAGTCTAATTACAGTGGCTCTATAATTAGTCTCAAAATCCAGTAAAGCGAGTCCTTCTACCTTCTTCTCCAAGAGTGTCTTGGGCCTTTGAATTTTCATGTAAATTTTAAGATCAGCTTGTCAAGTTTCACTGAAAGAATCTCTTGGGATTTTCATGGTAGTGGGTGAAATCTACAGGTTAATTTGAGGAGAATTAACATTTTAAAAATAATTAATCTTCCAATGCTTAAATATAGCATGTTCACTTATTTAGGTCTTCATGAACTTATCAAAAAACATTGTATATCTTGTATGTAGATATAGCCATCTATATTGCACATGTTTTCTGAGATTTATAACTAGGCATTTGATAGTCTGTGCAAGTCTATGTGGTGTTTTTCTTTTAATTTTATTTTTTCTGATAGTTGCTAGTATATAGAAGTAAACTTATGTATGTATGTATGTATATATGTTTTATTTATTTATTTATTTATTTATTTATTTATATATTGATCTCTTATACAGCAAACTTGCTAAATTCACTTGTTTAGTTCCTTTTGGACTGTCTAGATTCATCTGAGTTATTTAAAATACTGGTACATAGACTCCACCCCAGAACAATTATCTTAATATTTGTAAGAGTATCCCAGATGATTTTCATGTGTATGCAGCATGGAGAACCACCAGTCTAGACCACGGTTTCTCACCCTTGGTGTTATTGACGTCTTAGTCCAGATAATTCTCTGTTATGAGGGCTGTTCTGTGCACTGTACGTATCTAGCAACACCTCTGGCTTCTACCCACTAGGTGCCAATAACACCCTCCCCACACCCTCACATTTGTAACAACCAACAATGTCCCCCAAACATTGCCAAATGTCTAGTCACCAGACACCCACAGTTCTAGATCGGATGAGGTAGCTGCAACAGGGCTACAGATTAAATAACAAGACAACTTCAGTCGATATGAAAACCATCTTTCCAACAAGCAGATACATGACATTAAAATGTACTGTTTTCCAGGGTGGTGATGGCCTATTGTGTTAGTCAGCTGGGACTGCCATAATAGAGTACCACAGTGTGTGTCCCTTAAACAACAAAATTTTCTTCTCTCACAGTTCTGGAGGCCAGAAGCTCAGGTTCAAAGTGTCAGCAGGTTAGGTTTCTCCTGAGACGTCCCTCCTTATCTTGTAGACGGCCACCGTTTCTGCAGCCTGATGTGGTTTTTCCTCTGTGTGCACACACCCCTCAGGTCCCTTTGTGTGTCCAAATTTCCGCTCCTTACATGAACACCAGTCATATTCGATTAGGGAACACTCGTTTGACCATATTTAACCTTAATCACCTCTTTAAATCACCCCATTTCCAAATACAGTCACATTCTGACGTATTGGCTGGTCAAGACTTTCAACATATGAATTTGTAGGGGGTGCACAATTCAGTCCATAGCACCTATCCATGCAAAACAATGGCTTGAGTTGAGAGTCACTCACCAGGAATACTGTAGGGCAGCTTTGTTTGGGTCTGGATACAGGAGACAACTAGCCTGCAGACCTTCTGATTAGGAGATCCTGTGCTACTGGGAGGAGGGCAGAATAAATTCCAACTGGAGAAAATGGGGAAAGCTCTGTAGAGCAGCCGTCATTTAAACCTGACATTAAAGGACCATAGATCTAGGCAACATAGTGATAGGGAAGGTGGGGGGAAGGGATGCAAGGTGGACGGAATGGTATAGCTAACAGCACAGGCGGAGGAGAGGTTAGGGTGTGCTCGTGGCGTTAGGAATACGCTTGAGTCTGTGAAACAAGATGTGTGTTAGGACACAGCAGTACAATATGGTAGAACACTGATTTGGGGACCAACTTGAACTCTGCACACCTTAAAGCTCTCTGGGCAGAAGAAAAACCCCGTTCAGAGCCCAGCTGTTCACTGTCAGCTTTTGTTGGGCCTCATCTGGCATAGACCTCAGACAGGTGATACAGACCTCAGATTAAGGGAGGTCTTCAGACGCCTTTTCATGAGCAGCCCCGGTGGTCAAATGAGGGCCAATTTCTTGGAAGAGAAAACTCTCAGAGGTGCTTTGCAAAGAGCTGCCTGTCCTGCTTCACCAAGTGTTCTAAAGTCATTCTGGCTGCAAGCCATGAGTCTGAAGCATTTTCTTTTCCTTCTTACAGGTGATGGCCTCTTTTCAGGTCTCTTCCACAGATACCCAGAATACCAATGTGCCAAAAAGGGGGGCACCTGTAACTTTTCCCCGTGCCCGCTCTTTACCAGGGTTGATGGCGCCTGTTACAGTGGGAAGGCCAAGTGCTGCGTCTGAGCTGGGAGCAGCGGAGGCAAAACGCAGGAGCCATGTGAACACTTTGTAGGCGTTGTTTTAATAAAAGAAGACTTTTTTTTGTTTCTGAAGCATACTTCCTTTGGACCAAAATGAATCTTGCGTCTCCTTTTGGAAGAGGTTAAGGAAGTATGGGGGTTAGAAGTGAGACTGGCCAGACCACATAGCCTGTAAGCTCGGGACCGAGGGTGACGGCAAGGGCCTGAGTGATGTCACTGCCACATCGTTTTATTACCAAGCCAACACGGGAGTGGCACAGAGGGCCCACCTGCAATCAAGACACGTGATGAAGAGACAGGTGACACAGCTTCAGGCCCCCCCTTGGTCCTAGCAGTCACTCACCCCAAATTCAGTGGTCTCAGCAGCCTGTTCAGTAAAGCAGTCCACCTGCAGAGCCCAAAGCACTGCCTTTCTTCCCTCTGGGTTGGGGGCAGTGGGCTGGTTACGCTTAGCATTTGAGAACCTCTGTGATGGCCGTAAAACCAGTCCTGTAAGTTTCACCCTCTAGGCCTAATATCTGGGTTTCTGGATGATGATTTTTGACTCTACCCCAATCACATAACCTTGTTACATGTCACTTAAAAAGCATATGTTATGGGGGCAGCTGGTTAGCTCAGTTGGTTAGGGCGCAGTGCTCACAACACCAAGGTTGCCGGTTCGATCCCCACATAGGCCACTGAGATGTGCCCTCCACAACTAGATTGAGACGACTACTTGACTTGAGCTGATGGGTTCTGGAAAAACACACAGTTTCCCCAATTAAAAAAAAAAAAAAGCCCGTGCTATGACTGCTACTTCTTCATTTCATTCCTTCTGCACCGTTTGGCCTGCAGACACCTGTTGGTGGGGGAGAATGGGTCACCTTCTCTTTCTTCTAATAAATGTCTTACAACTCCTGTTGAAGCAACTATTGTCTCCTCCATCGGCGATGGCAATTTCATATTCCACATCAATAAATTGGAAGCACAAATGAAAATCCACCATTGTGAAAAGGTTTGTCCCCATCTGCCGGTCGTAGATTTAGACATAACCTCCCTCTTTTGTGAGGAAAACACAGAAAGAAATGCTGGTTTATATGGTAGAAATGAGCCTCTGCTCAGGTGTTCTCAGGAACAGATACACAGCGTGTGGCTTTCATCACAGTGCGTCCAGGCCTCTCCCTTCCCGTGAAAAGCTAAGAAATAACCCAGGACCACTCTGTCCTGAAAAGAAACTTCAGGCATGCTATCCACCTTGGGCGTTATGTTAAAAGCAGATTCCCAGCTGAGCCTCCCACCTAGGCCAGCTGGCATTTTGGTTTCCAAAAACCTGATTCTTGAGGCCAAAAAAACCCCACATCACTGAGTTTACATTCTTCACTCTACGACGCTGTGGCAATTTGGCCGGCCCTGAAGGAGTTCTTCAAGTGACCAAAAGCATATTTCTGTGAATCCCCAGCCACAAAGATGCCACAGCCTACCTCAGGAACACGGTGATATGACATCAACAGCACTGGCCCCAGAAACAAGTCTCAGAACCAGAAAGACTAGAAGATCCTTGCAGCCCTTCCAATCCCAACTGCATTTGATCCCAGGGCTCATAGAACTACAGGGCGAGCACTCCCTCACTGCCAGTTTTAAAAGGGTTTGCAGCTGAGATTGTTCTCCTGTCCTCTCATCCCCACAGTGCTCAAAGCCTGCAGCTTACAGAGCCCCATAGCCCCGTCTTCCTGGGGTGAGGCCCTTGCAACTTCTCACTCCTTCCCTCAGCAGGACAAACAAAACTGCCCCACTTCTCCCCGAGAGGATGACCTCCTACTCATTTAATAATTCGCCAGCTCCCCGTGATATACATCTTCACCCCCTTCCTCGCCACCACCTTCGCTGTTTCAGCCCTTCCCTTGGCCAGACTGAAACACGGGGGACACTGCCTGACCCCTCCTGGAGGAAACATGGTGTTTAAGTGAAGGACAGTGCATAGAGCTGTCTACAATCCGCTTGGCTCCAGAGTGGTTGCAAAGCCCAAGTTCACGGTGACTGTGATAGCATCTGCTCAGATGAAAGAGAAAGCCCTGATATGAGAAAGCTCCACCTGCACTTCCAGGTCCAGCCCGTTACTGCTGCGGCTGTCAGTCAGGAATCCCTGAATCATGTGCCTTCATAGTTACTAAGCACGCTGACTTCTCCCAGTGGGAGAAGAGTCCCCTGGGGTAGACTGGTTTTGCATGGCTGCCCTTTGAAGCGTCTCTCTCACCCAATGACTGCTGCCTTTCCAGGTGCCCTGTCACCATAATGAGCATCCTTCAAGGGGGGCTCACGGTGGTGCCCCAGGAGGGTGGCTGCAGCAGCCCTTGCTCTACTGCTGTCACTTTTTGTCTCCAATCCTTCGGGGCACCATGGGTCCCACCCCCCGGAGACCGGTGGCTCAGCGTTTAAGGAAAAAGCGGACACAAAACAACAAATTTAGCAGATGAAGCTGAGGCCCCCATCGCACTCTTGGATGCAGAACCCGGCCCCTCCGAGGTTGATTGGGACACCCTGGAGAGGGAGGTGGCACTCACAGCAGCAGCCTCTCGGGGCCACCAGGAGCTTATCGAGTAACCACCCACCCCTCCAAAAAATGGAAAAGGAGGTGGCCAGCAACAGACGGGAGGCCACACAGGAAATATTTTAGCCGCCCCCAGATACAAGCAATTCTAAAGGATTTTGTTTAAGAAAAGAAAAAGTGGGGATGAGAGGTCTAATTCTTCTGTGGAGGACAGGGGCCTCCCGGGAGAGAGCAAAGGGCTGGTTTCCCTTCTTATCAGCCGGAGACAGAACCTAAAAACCTCAGCTTCAGGGACTAAAAGCCTAAAAGAGAGGAAAAAGGGAGTGGAGGGTAACTTTGAAACTTATGTGCTGAGCAACAGGTCTAGCATCACGCCATTAGCCCTGGACTGCTTATTGATTTAAAAAGCAACACCACCCACCCACCCCACACCACCAATTAAAAAATAAATAAGTAAATAAATAAATTAAATAAATAAAAAGCAACGACAAACCCCTCAATACAGGGGGAGAAAGTAAAACATGATTAAATAAATTGTGTATATGTACATGGATATAATATTTTAACATAACTATGTAATAGGGAAACTGTGTATATGTATATATAACATATAATTAAATAAAAACATTTCATACTAAAGAATCTATACAGCAGAAGTGACTGAAAGGGCACTGATTGGCTTTTGTGCCTGTAAGTTCTGAACTCACTTTACCATTTGCTAAAATGCACCAGCTGGCGAAGCTTCATAACTAACACTGGGGCTCAAATTACAGTTACACCTGGGGAGCCCACTAAATTTAAACACTGTGCCCCCTATAATTTTAAGAAGGTAACTAAGTGTTTCAAAAAAGGAAAAATAGGTATGCCCCTCCCACCCCACCCCCTTCAACTGTGGCCTTACCTCAATTTCCCATCTTCATAGTTCCCATGACCTAAAATATCCCATATTGGGCATAGAGGCTGTAACGTAATAAATTAAGTCTTCGACACTTACAAATTGACCTGATAAAATGGGGCCTCATGGACCCCCTCAGATGACATTGTTAATTTGGCCCAATGTAAGTTGAACTAGGGACTTCAAAGGATTAAAACTTATAACGTGAAACAACTAATAAATGGGTGATTATTCCCACCGCTTCGCTATTTCACAGCCCAATCTTGCCTGTTCTTAAATCTGGAAAATATAAAGGGCCCCTCCTAGTGGATTACCACACCCTTAATTCTGACGTTCCAGCCATCAGGGTCCCCATACCCAATAGCCAATATTATTAAAATTACTAATTCTATTCAATCAACAACTGGTAACTATTTCGCTCCTCTGGATTGGGTTCACACATCCTGTTCAGTGCCTACTTCAGCAGTCTCATCTGCGGTTTGCCTTCACCTCTCAGGGGGCACAACACCCCTTCCC